GTCAGCTGCTGTCTCTCCTCCGGCTGTTGGGACGTGAGGCAGGTGCACGAGCACACGGACTCAGTGTGTTTCAAGCCATCGGGGCAGAGAGTCGAACCTTGGTCGGCCATGTGGGATTGAGATCCCTCACCCACTAGGCCATGGGGTCAGTGCTATTGTTGGCTTTTAATTTATTTAATTTATTTCCTGAGAAATGGGGGGAACACCTTTGATAGAGTCTTTATCCAGGACCCTCCCCAGAACCCTACAGACAACCAGGGTCACAGGTATGCGTGGCTTGCTCAGGTAACCCTGGGACACGAACCCAGGGCCTTCCCGTATGGCCTCCAGCAGCGCCCCTACTGCCTGCACCACCATGGCTGGGGCCATGTGTGAACGTCTCTGATGGCCGTTCCTCCGCCAGCCATGCCAAGCCAAGGACACCATAACGAGCCCACCTGCAGGCCTGCCACAGCACAGTGGTCACGCGCATGCTCCTCTGGGTGCCCTGGCAGCTCCAGGTTCCCGCCTCAGGCCTCCCTGCACACGCCTGGGCCCTTGCTTGCGTGCCCACGATCAGTCTGGCTGAGGCTGGAGTGCAGTGTGAAGAACCAGCCCCGTGAAGAAGTGAAGAAGTCATGGGGAAAAAAAGCAGACCCCGAACTCCCAGGAGGCTTCAGACCTGCTCGCCCACTGGCTGCCAGCTGCCCAAGCGGGACGACTACCCTTAAGCTGCATGCGGAGGGCCGAGGGCTAGAACCCAGGCAGGGAGGGAGCCTGGGCCCGGGTCGGAGAGCACAGAGGCAGAGGAGCGTGGCGGGCGGGCGTGTTCACACTGCTGCCTCTGCTCAAAGCCCGGGTCTCCTGTCCTACAGGGCTCCCTCAGTTCCCAAACAGGAAAAGAAAGTGAATGTGTAAAGTCTCTTCTGGAACCTTCCTCCTAAGACCACAGTAGCAGGGCAGCCTGCCACCACTACGCAGCCTCTTCCCTCCGCACCCCTGTGCCAAGCCTCCGGGTTCCCTGCGTCTGGTGCAGGGATGCGGTTGGCAGGCACGCCTGACCCCGAGCCCCCG